TTAATGGTCATCCAACGCACACTACCGGCGATTTCGGTGAGGGACTAAAAGGTCCCGTTGTCAGGGCTGAGATTGCAGCACATCGTATCTACCGGTCCCTGGAAGGCCCGCGAGCCTGTGCCAATAAGCCATGGCAACAACGCGAAAAGTAGATGATGCAGTAGAGGCAAGAAAATGAGAGGTAGGCAGCAGCCAAATGCTTCGGCCGGCCGCTTTGCAGGCGGACAGTAAATAGAAGCTTGCAATCGTTCACCGAAAATACCATCTTCTGCAACACCAGTGGCCACCCGACCTTTGAACAAGCCCAAACAGAGCTCAGGCGCCCTCGCCGGTGCAGCACGATTCGTGTGGTACCCGCTTTCTGAACTAAAGGCAACATCATTATGATTCGATTAGTTTCTTTTTATAAACAACACAAAGCAGACAGATTTCTCAAACTCGTTTGAGAGACAAAAGGAAATGATTGATAGAATCCAGTATAAGTTGTCTCGGGCCATCTGAAACATGCCAGGGAAAGAGGTGGTTTAGGATGCTCAGTTTAACTTTCCCCTATTTGATACAATCAACCTGCATTCCCTTTTTCATGTCGCAGACTGCCTTCTCAGAGTCGTTCGTCTGTCGACTCTGTGCATATATGCATGTATTTGTAGGTACATATTAATAACGAGGCAGATGTGCAGCTCGGTCCGACTGTTATCATTCAACAAAACAATCATCTCAAAGTGTTCAGTTTCTGGGACGGAAGATGCACACCCAATAGGTTCTTCTCCGAGATGTAGGGGAAGTGAAGCACCTGCTCGGCTATGTTGAAGAGGACCTCCATCCGAGGCAAGTCCACATCCAAGGCGTCGACAGCCGTTTCGCCCTGGCTAGAGCTGAGCCCCGAGCCGGTGGGTTGATAGCGTACGGGTTCGGTGAAACTGTTGGCATCCAGCCGTAGAGCAAATCGACCGATCTCACCGGAACGCGTCAACTCCGAGTCCGGATCCTCTATTCGCACCACTCGACTGCCACGCATAGGGCCACATTTTCGTTTCTGCTGGCCCGTCGAGACGATCTCGGCCGAGCCCGACCGCGAGTGTGGTTGTCGTGGATCCGGGGCCTTGATCTGGTCAGCTGGAAGGCCGCCCGAGCCATGTGAGGCCGCCATGTCATCGCAGGACACCAGCGAAGTGAGCGTCTCGGCAGTCTGATCGAGGCCGACCTGGAACCGATTCTTGAGCTTGTTTGGGCTTTCGGTAGGCTTGGTTTTCCTGCGCTGCGGACCTGCTGTCTGCGACTGACGAGACGATCGCAAATGTGGCCTCTGCTGCCGCTGACGTTGCAACTGCTTCTGCGGCTGCTGCCCCTCTTCTTTTTGTTGCCGCTGCTGCTTCTGTTGATGTGGTTGTGGTTTGGGTTGTGGTTGTTGTTGCTGATGCTTTCCTTGGCGTAGCGATTGAGAGTAGCCTTGCTGGGAACACTGCTTGCCCTGTTGTGACGGTGTACATTCGCCTTCGAGTTCAAAAGAGTTTTGCAGTGTGATGCTAGGCGCCACAGTGCGCATGGACAGGCCTGTGGTGGCACCATGGCCGTAGGGATGCGAGAGCATGGCTTCCGATTTGTAGCATAGCTTTTCCTCGTTAAAAAAGTGACGAATCATGCTGTTGCGAAGAGTGTCGAAATAAACAGGATCATTAAAAATGGCCTTTGCTCCTCCGAGAAGTTTGCGTACGCGTTTGGCATTCGAGCTGGCAGCCACACCCAAACCGAGGATGCTGGGGGCATCCAAATTGATTGACTTGGCCACATTGTTTAGCCGGTATTTTCTGCCAACACGCCCAACAGAGTCTCTGGTCAAATCAGATATCCAAGTTTCGAAGTCGAACTCATCAAGCATGAGTCGAGAAAACTTGTTTGAATGATACGAAACACGGAAGGATGTCGGTTTATCGAAAGTTTCAGGGTCATCACCAACCCAAAGAAGATTCCTGTAATTCGGACAAGATAACGGCGCAAATGATACTGGCTGAAAGTCAACATCCTGAATAACAAAATTGAAATGATAGCAGCGATAAATAAGTTATAAATTTGGAGGGGAATGGAAAATTTAAGGCTATATTTTGGGTGATTAGCATTAGACTCTCGAGAGAAGGGTCTAGGTTTCAAAGGGTGATTTAAAGAGTGACATTTGAATTGTACAACAATAAGATAAGTAGGCCTCAAGATTCCAGTGAATTCAATATAGCCTTACCTACCAAAGGATTCTCTCATCCACGTCGGACAGCAGTTTGGAGCTCATCTAGGTCCTTTAAATAACTTCAACGGGATTCGATACCGGATCGTGAGTATAATGAAGACGTTACCACTCCACTATGTTGGTTTATCAGGGGGCAAATGTTACATTCAAGGTAAGCCAGGCCTCTCCCAAATCACATTTATTGTAGCATTGGCCTTGTGCGGAATATTTATCACAATTTGGTAAAGCTCAACCAGCAATCCTGAAATAGCCTTAAGCAACCTAAAGTAACTAGATTCTTATAAAAGACTATAAATGTAATACAACAAAGACCTCACTTTCCTTAAATGTCACACCTATTCGGTTAACAAATTGCCAAGATGTATTTACCTTATTTAGTTTAAGCTGATAAAGGGAATAAAAGTTGAATTTTCTCACATTTATATGAGTAGACCTTACGTTTCTATTGAATTCCACATGGCCTCGTTTCTCAAATGGTTTTCTCATTCAGATTGGAATGAACTGAAGTTTTGGCCTCGCCTGAACTGGTCCCATCAGAACCCCCGGCTGAACTCTGACCATGACAATGCAACGTATAAGCTCGACAGGTTAATTGCAACGCCACACTGCCGCGAGTGCCC